TCTCCCGCTAACCGCAATAACGCGAGACGCTTATTAAAGCTTCTCCCGCTAACCGCAATAACGCGAGACGCTTATTAAAGCTTCTCCCGCTAACCGCAATAACGCGAGACGCTTATTAAAGCTTCTCCCGCTAACCGCAATAACGCGAGACGCTTATTAAAGCTTCTCCCGCTAACCGCAATAACGCGAGACGCTTATTAAAGCTTCTCCCGCTAACCGCAATAACGCGAGACGCTTATTAAAGCTTCTCCCGCTAACCGAATAACGCGAGACGCTTATTAAAGCTTCTCCCGCTAACCGCAATAACGCGAGACGCTTATTAAAGCTTCTCCCGCTAACCGCAATAACGCGAGACGCTTATTAAAGCTTCTCCCGCTAACCGTAATAACGCGAGACGCTTATTAAAGCTTCTCCCGCTAACCGTAATAACGCGAGACGCTTATTAAAGCTTCTCCCGCTAACCGTAATAACGCGAGACGCTTATTAAAGCTTCTCCCGCTAACCGTAATAACGCGAGACGCTTATTAAAGCTTCTCCCGCTAACCGTAATAACGCGAGACGCTTATTAAAGCTTCTCCCGCTAACCGTAATAACGCGAGACGCTTATTAAAGCTTCTCCGCTAACCGTAATAACGCGAGAGCTTATTAAAGCTTCTCCCGCTAACCGTAATAACGCGAGGAGCTTATAAATTGCTAATAATAAGAGACTTAAACTCCCGCTAACCGTAATAACGCGAGAAGCTTAATAGAGCTTCTCCCGCTAACCGTAATAACGCGAGAAGCTTAATAGAGCTTCTCCCGCTAACCGTAATAACGCGAGAAGCTTAATAGAGCTTCTCCCGCTAACCGTAATAACGCGAGAAGCTTAATAGAGCTTCTCCCGCTAACCGTAATAACGCGAGAAGCTTAATAGAGCTTCTCCCGCTAACCGTAATAACGCGAGAAGCTTAATAGAGCTTCTCCCGCTAACCGTAATAACGCGAGAAGCTTAATAGAGCTTCTCCCGCTAACCGTAATAACGCGAGAAGCTTAATAGAGCTTCTCCCGCTAACCGTAATAACGCGAGAAGCTTAATAGAGCTTCTCCCGCTAACCGTAATAACGCGAGAAGCTTAATAGAGCTTCTCCCGCTAACCGTAATAACGCGAGAAGCTTAATAGAGCTTCTCCCGCTAACCGTAATAACGCGAGAAGCTTAATAGAGCTTCTCCCGCTAACCGTAATAACGCGAGAAGCTTAATAGAGCTTCTCCCGCTAACCGTAATAACGCGAGAAGCTTAATAGAGCTTCTCCCGCTAACCGTAATAACGCGAGAAGCTTAATAGAGCTTCTCCCGCTAACCGTAATAACGCGAGAAGCTTAATAGAGCTTCTCCCGCTAACCGTAATAACGCGAGAAGCTTAATAGAGCTTCTCCCGCTAACCGTAATAACGCGAGAAGCTTAATAGAGCTTCTCCCGCTAACCGTAATAACGCGAGAAGCTTAATAGAGCTTCTCCCGCTAACCGTAATAACGCGAGAAGCTTAATAGAGCTTCTCCCGCTAACCGTAATAACGCGAGAAGCTTAATAGAGCTTCTCCCGCTAACCGTAATAACGCGAGAAGCTTAATAGAGCTTCTCCCGCTAACCGTAATAACGCGAGAAGCTTAATAGAGCTTCTCCCGCTAACCGTAATAACGCGAGAAGCTTAGAGAGCTTCTCCGCTAACCGTAATAACGCGGAGAAGCTCTCCTAAGCTTCTCGCGTTATTACGGTTAGCGGGAGAAGCTCTATTAAGCTTCTCGCGTTATTACGGTTAGCGGGAGAAGCTCTATTAAGCTTCTCGCGTTATTACGGTTAGCGGGAGAAGCTCTATTAAGCTTCTCGCGTTATTACGGTTAGCGGGAGAAGCTCTATTAAGCTTCTCGCGTTATTACGGTTAGCGGGAGAAGCTCTATTAAGCTTCTCGCGTTATTACGGTTAGCGGGAGAAGCTCTATTAAGCTTCTCGCGTTATTACGGTTAGCGGGAGAAGCTCTATTAAGCTTCTCGCGTTATTACGGTTAGCGGGAGAAGCTCTATTAAGCTTCTCGCGTTATTACGGTTAGCGGGAGAAGCTCTATTAAGCTTCTCGCGTTATTACGGTTAGCGGGAGAAGCTCTATTAAGCTTCTCGCGTTATTACGGTTAGCGGGAGAAGCTCTATTAAGCTTCTCGCGTTATTACGGTTAGCGGGAGAAGCTCTATTAAGCTTCTCGCGTTATTACGGTTAGCGGGAGAAGCTCTATTAAGCTTCTCGCGTTATTACGGTTAGCGGGAGAAGCTCTATTAAGCTTCTCGCGTTATTACGGTTAGCGGGAGAAGCTCTATTAAGCTTCTCGCGTTATTACGGTTAGCGGGAGAAGCTCTATTAAGCTTCTCGCGTTATTACGGTTAGCGGGAGAAGCTCTATTAAGCTTCTCGCGTTATTACGGTTAGCGGGAGAAGCTTTAATAAGCTTCTCGCGTTATTACGGTTAGCGGGAGAAGCTTTAATAAGCTTCTCGCGTTATTACGGTTAGCGGGAGAAGCTTTAATAAGCTCTCGCGTTATTACGGTTAGCGGGAAGCTTTAATAAGCTCCTCGCGTTATTACGGTTAGCGGGAGAAGCTTTAATAAGCTCCTCGCGTTATTACGGTTAGCGGGAGAAGCTTTAATAAGCGTCTCGCGTTATTACGGTTAGCGGGAGAAGCTTTAATAAGCGTCTCGCGTTATTACGGTTAGCGGGAGAAGCTTTAATAAGCGTCTCGCGTTATTACGGTTAGCGGGAGAAGCTTTAATAAGCGTCTCGCGTTATTACGGTTAGCGGGAGAAGCTTTAATAAGCGTCTCGCGTTATTACGGTTAGCGGGAGAAGCTTTAATAAGCGTCTCGCGTTATTACGGTTAGCGGGAGAAGCTTTAATAAGCGTCTCGCGTTATTACGGTTAGCGGGAGAAGCTTTAATAAGCGTCTCGCGTTATTACGGTTAGCGGGAGAAGCTTTAATAAGCGTCTCGCGTTATTGCGGTTAGCGGGAGAAGCTTTAATAAGCGTCTCGCGTTATTCCGGTTAGCGGGAGAAGCTTTAATAAGCGTCTCGCGTTATTGCGGTTAGCGGGAGAAGCTTTAATAAGCGTCTCGCGTTATTGCGGTTAGCGGGAGAAGCTTTAATAAGCGTCTCGCGTTATTGCGGTTAGCGGGAGAAGCTTTAATAAGCGTCTCGCGTTATTGCGGTTAGCGGGAGAAGCTTTAATAAGCGTCTCGCGTTATTGCTGTTAGCGGGAGAAGCTTTAATAAGCGTCTCGCGTTATTGCGGTTAGCGGGAGAAGCTTTAATAAGCGTCTCGCGTTATTGCGGTTAGCGGGAAGCTTTAATAAGCGTCTCGCGTTATTGCGGTTAGCGGGAGAAGCTTTAATAAGCTCCTCGAGTTATTACGGTTAGCGGGAGAAGCTTTAATAAGCTCCTCGCGTTATTACGGTTAGCGGGAGAAGCTTTAATAAGCTCCTCGAGTTATTACGGTTAGCGGGAGAAGCTTTAATAAGCTCCTCGCGTTATTACGGTTAGCGGGAGAAGCTTTAATAAGCTCCTCGAGTTATTACGGTTAGCGGGAGAAGCTTTAATAAGCTCCTCGCGTTATTACGGTTAGCGGGAGAAGCTTTAATAAGCTCCTCGAGTTATTACGGTTAGCGGGAGAAGCTTTAATAAGCTTCTCGCCTTATTACGGTTAACGAGAGAAGCTCAATAATCAGTTTATGGGCATCACTAAGAACTTGGACGTCAAGCTATCCTACATTAGCTTAAACAAATTAAATAAATTTATCAATGTACATAAAGACCATATTCCTTCTAACTGCAAAACAAATGTAGTCTATAAAATTAATTGTTCCGATTGTGATGCTTCATATATTGGTCAGACCTCGAGAATGTTGAAGACGAGAATTTCTGAACATAGATCGCAGATTAATAGCAATCATGCAACTCGCTCAGTCGTCACAAATCACAGATTACAATGCGATCATGATTTTTGTTGGAATGACGTCCAAGTCTTGGATGAAACTCCATTCTATAATAGAAGGATTATTTCCGAAATGCTGCATATTAAGAGACAAAGGAATGGTTTGAATTTACAGCAGACACAGAAAATTTACCGTCTTTATATCATGACATTATAAACAAGCTTCCGAAAATATGAAAGTCATGCTCTAGTATATATATCGGCCGTCTCTGTAACATTTTTGACAGTAACCGATTTTTATGTTGAACCTTGTTGTTTTTTTCAACATCCTCATTATCGCAGAACAGTTTCTCTGTAAGTACTTATATTATTAGTCTCCTCACATTATTTAAGAGATTTATTTTTGATGTTGCCAATTTCAGGCTGCATTTGGTACTGTTGTCAAGTTTCTGTTCTGCATCTAATTAACTCGCACAATGAGATTCTTTATATCTCTCGCCATGGAGATCTATTATTTTGATAAACGTCTATTAACTTTGCGTCTATGCGACATCGATTTTTGATTTTATAACACTTATCATTACAATTTTTCTATGGTTCCTACACCACATTATTATTTGTAATTTTTATGTCACATCATTGCGCTGAAGAAGGCTCAAAACAAGAGCCAGAAACGTCCGTACCGTACATTTCTTTTATTATTATTTTTAACTATTTATATCGTACTTAACATGTTTATATCAATTATAGTTTACTTTATTAAATTATTATTACTTGTACTCGATCTTTAATAATTTATTTATTTACTTGCTCTCTATTGCCTATGTTCTTCCATTTCATTATTAAATTCGAAGAGAGCTTTTTTCAATATTTGTTAATTAATTACATTTGTGTTGATGCTTGCATTGACCAATCAGGATAAAGATTTCTTTATCCTAATTGGCCAATCGAATGCAGCTGCATAATTGATCAAAATCAAATGATGAAGGCCTTTCTATCTAAATTTTGCGTTCCATGATCCAAGTTTGATACTCCGGATGTTCCGCTGGTTCTATCGATTCGTCGTTCCCTGTTCATTGTTTACGTGACGTGGTGATAGTCGTGATGAATCCTGATGCCAATGGTGGACATATTTATATGTAATCTGTGGTGATAGATACAGAGTGCCGGTTGTGTTCGAATCAACGAAACTGGAATTATCCTTTTGATTAATAGTAATTTCTGCCAACTGTCATCATGTTGCAATCAATATTCGACGACGTGAGACGTATGAATAAACGTCAGGTAAATTTTTTTTCTTCGACGATCATTATCCGGAGATCACATATGGTAATTATATGTCAATGTTCTCTGATTTTCAGTTCTTATATCAAGTATTGAGCTTTGGCATGATAGTCTCGTCGGCTCTGATGATATGGAAGGGTCTGATGGTTGTCACCGGCAGCGAGAGTCCTATCGTGGTGGTGTTGAGGTATAGAAATAGATCTGGATCTAACCTAGCTTCTCTCTCCTTACTGTCTATGTATCTGAATTAATTTTTAATTGGCTCTTATAGCTGAGAAATTGTAATTGATACTAGCTATTTTTATTGACGGTACAGAATGTTCCTAAAGTGACTATTTTTACGAAACAACAGGAATTATAAAATACTTTTTTAAGATAAAAATATATTTAAATCAAATATATATTTTAGGGCCTTAATTTAAATATTAGTTTCTATTAGTGACAACTATTGTAATGTTTCTACAGATCTCGAAGGGATCTGTTGTTTTGCAGAATATACATTTAAACATTGCAAGTTTCCTGTTGAATTATTTCAATAATATAATTTTGACGATCAGCTTTATCTCTAATTCTTTTATGATACATTTTCAGATTTAATGGATCTCTAGGTAAAAATTCTAATGGTATTAAATCAAGCAAACCTGTTGTTTATAATTGAGATTTTTCATAAAGCTTAACATAAAATACTTGAACTTTTATAAATACATGAATTTGTACAACAATGGACATATTATGCCAATGTATAATTTTTTTAAATATTTTTAATTTCATCAAAATAGATCACTTTAGAAACCCTGTACATGTTTTGTTGTGAAAAAAATATTTAAAGATATAGAAATTATCGTTGTTAAAGATACAGAAATATATTAATAAAAATGATAACAGTAAATATTATATTTCATATTATATTCAATAAACTTGCAAAGTATCCATATAGAATAAAATGAATAAAATGTTTGATAAATTTATATTAATTCATTCAATTCTTAATACATAGTGGCAGCATGGAGCCTGCATTTCACAGGGGCGATTTACTCTTCCTTACTAATTACCAAGATGAGCCAGTGAGAGTAGGGGAGATTGTTGTTTTCAAAGTCGAGGGCAGGGATATACCTATTGTACACAGAGTACTTAAGCTTCATGAAAAGTAAGATTCATATAATTTATGAAATAAAAATATATCGATAATAAAACATAAAAAAAGACATCAAATTTCTAGGGGTGACCAGAATAATACGGTCAAGTTTCTCACGAAAGGCGACAACAATTCTGTGGACGACCGAGGCCTATACGCACCTGGTCAGCTATGGTTGACACATAAAGATGTGGTCGGCCGGGCGAGAGGCTTTCTACCATACGTTGGCATGGTCACTATATACATGAATGAATATCCTAAATTTAAATATGCAGTATTAGCATGTCTTGGATTGTATGTTTTGGTACATAGAGAATAAAGTTATGCTCGAATAAGTTGAAACGTTATATTAATGATAAATCGTGGATGTCCAGGAAGATGCGTGATTTGATTGTTTATATATATATATATGCAAGAATTATGTATGATAAGATTATTCATATACGTACATTGAACTTAATTAGGAATTATGGAAACATTCAGGTCTAAATGCATTTCTCTGTACATATATTTGCATATTTGAATCAACAGTTCAAAAACCTAAAAACATTGTTCAAATTATCGCGAATAAATTTATACTAGACACATTGTCTTGATTTTCATATCAAGATGAAATTCGTTTATGTGAACGATTAATACAAGATGTATCATGTTTGGATCTGTTTGTAATTAATAATAATATGTAGTCCTAGTTTAAAAAGTTATGTACAATATAAATATATATATATATATATATATATATATATATATATATATACACATATTCTGTTTTTGTAATAAAATTGCAGTACAATTAATGAGGTATTCATATAAATATATATAATGCAAAGGATACAGTTTGTCATTAACTGTGCTCGAAATTGTTATGCAAGTTGTACATACATATGCGAAATACGAGATTACACTTATTCTGTTCATGAAGCATTGATAAATAATAAATACTTTGCAAATGGAGCAAGTAAGCAACTTCGAATTTAGCATTTGATCATTCTAATTCAAAAGAAGTTTATTTCTTCTTTATTAATCACAATTAATGATATAGTTATCTCAAGAACGATTATTATTATTACTATAAAAACTAATATCAATGCAAATCAATGCAGATCAATACAGATCAATGCTAGATTTTTTTATTAAGTTAACAACTTTTTTTCTCAGTGTACACAGATTAATTATTTATTAAACCTCACGAGATATATTAATCGTTTAATAATATAAATGTATTTATATCCAAGTATATATATTTTTAAAGTCTCACACACACACGTACATTGAGAAAAAAAATTTTTGTTAACTCAATTAAACGTTTAACTAAATTAAAATAAACTTCACGAGATGTATTAATCGTTTAATAATATAAATGTATTTATATCCAAGTATATTTTTGAAGTCTCATACACACACGTACATTGAGAAAAAAAAGTTTTTGTTAACTCAACTAAACCGTTTAACTAAATTATTATTTTTTAAATTAAAATATTGAAATATTTAAGTTAAATAAATGTCATGTTAGATTTATAATAGTTAAATATTCCAGTTAAAAAGGTAATAATTTAGTTAAATGGTTTAGTTAAATTAACAACTTTTTTTCTTTTACAATTAGTCTTTTCTCTGTCTACTATTTGATTGTTTTATTACGCTTTTAGAAAGTCAAGTTCTATAATGTAACTTTTAATGTTGTATTTCATATGAAATTATTATTTTAAACATAATAATTTTCTTTCTTTGCATTTCTATCATGAATAGACATTTCCAACCTTTACTAAAAAAACTAAAAATATCCCTCAATTTTTTCTCTCTTTGGACAATTTATTTACATTTATATATAATTCTCTTTATTCCTTTAAAAGTGAACATCGAGAACAACTCTCTTTCTTCAGGCAAGTCTACATATATGACCAATATGATTAACTGATTCCATCTTTATATATTTATCATCATGTGCTATTAATTAAAGTCGTAGACAATATTCAGTAATCAAAGTTGCGCGCAGGAATGGCCATGCGCAGAAACGAATGCGCAGTGGTTCGGCCGCCATGTTGGCGCGTGACTGCTACGTCATACGCGTCATTGCTACGTCATCGGCGTCATACGTGACTCGGAGTCATACGCAGTTACACGGATCGTCGTACGTCCGCATTTTTCGCGTCTTTTAACCGTTTTTAAACGAATATCGCGAGTGAACGAGCGTCGAAAGTGTCCAAGGATGATCGCGCGACTTTTATAGTGTGTCGATGGAAACGCGCGACAGCGATTTTTGACGATATTCAGTGATGGCGTCATCGCGAAGATGGAGCGAAGTTGCGTCGCGTTATTCGCGCCCTTGATGATGATTATCGGATGTGAGCGAGTATTGGGAATGCCGAATAAAGTGTCGCGCGTTCGCGTTGATGATATCGTGTGAGTTTGTGTGCATCAAGATCGGAATGGGACGTCCCGAGGCGAGCGAGTGGAGCGGCCTGTGGAACAGCCGGTGCATAGATTTGATTTATCATATTTGCGTGCACAATTCGTGCTCATTCGACGCTTATATGCACGCTTATAGCATCGCGATGTCCCGAATTACATTCGGACAAATCGGCGCCGCATCATAATTCGATGCAATTCATTCGGTGCAATTCAAATAAAGTCGATCGCGTGAAGATTATGCTAGAAGCGATTTGAAATTTCTTTTGTATGCGCGCGCAGTGCTGTCTTATTGAGATCAAAATTGCGGTACTTTGTTAATCTAGTGACTTTAGAGTCTCGGACGCGCAAGCGCAGTCTTGATTCGAAACTCCGTACTCCATCCAGTCTGCTGTCAACGTCGTCGGCTCGGCCCGGCGGTGCTCGGCATCGTTCGATTCTATCGGATTGTCGGGTATGCTCGGCTACCTCGAGTAGTAGCAGCAGCAGCAGAGCAGGCGGACCCGTCCACAGTCCATCGTGGTCCAGTCACCGAGGGAGAGGTAGGCTGGGGGCAGTACAGGCGAGGTTGTACAGGCAGGGGCAGGAAAGATGGCTGCCGCGGCGAACGTTGCGCCGGAGAATCAGTATTTCTACGAGGATGTCGTCTATCGCGTGGACAAACGGGGCAACGTCGTCTTCGGCATCGTCATGGAGAATGACGATCAGGACATGTCCGAGGAGAGCTCCGACAGCGAGGAGAGCCTGCCGAAGCGCAAGAAGGGCGAGATACGCATGATTTGGCATCCGTCCGGCGTCGAGGAGTTGGTCAACTGTAAGAAGGTACTACGATCAATTATTTGCGTGTCGATTCCGCGTGGAAAGATTAATCGATTCCCGCATCTCACGCCTTTCGTACTATTTGCCTTACGACATCTTTCGCTGCAATAACGCATGCGGCATTGAATTGCATTAGAGTCTAATATTAATCATGTTTTGTACGCCAATATGCGCCAATGAGATGTTTCGATGGTGTATCGTTTTCAGGTTCATCTGGCTGATAGGACCCTCATGCCTGGAGATGTAGTACGTAGGATGATCAAGGGAAAGGATACGCAAAGAGGCTACTGCAGAGACATAGAACTGACTGCGTGTGTACAGGTCATTGGTACCAAGCAGGTACTTACGGATATCAAGAGCGAAGATCTAATCCCATTGCAGGTACATGGATATGAATAATCTTTTGGTAGCAGAGATATAGCTGGCATATTAGTACACTGAAACAAACAGTTGTCATTTGTAGGAATTTGCAACAGATATGGCAGTCTGCATGGATTCTTGGGTTGGTGGTATTAGAATGACGCACTTTAAGTTATGGTTGGTAACACCAGACGGATCACACTGTGTCATAAACGAGATGGATTCCTGTGTGCTGGGACAATTGGAAGAGACGCGAGATAATGTAAGATTTAATGATTTATTATTTTTTGTATATGTTTTGCAGATATGAATATTAAATATTTTTTAGGACAATGATTTTCCACACTCTACTGAATTCTATCCTGGTCAGAGTCTATGGGGTCCTGTTCACTGTCTCGAGGATGCACAGTGGATTCAGTGTACAAAGGAGATGAAGGCAAAGAGAAAATTAAAACCACAAAAGATAACAAAAGTGATTGTGGAGAAAGTAGAAACTGATTGGGTAGGTGTTCATTGGCAGTGTCGAGCATATTCAAAGGACGGTGCCTGGTCCGATCAGGCACAACCAAAATTTGTGGTTGAAGGTGAAGATCTGAAAAAATTGAAACTGTTAAATGTGTTCGAGCCTTCGACAGTACAAGTCGGCGATCGCAATTTTTACATCATTAAGGGAAATGAAAATGTTATTACCCGCGAACAATGGCGGAAACAACAAAGGGATATTTATCAAGTTCCTAAGCAGAGTCCGAAGAAGACGCGTCCAAATATTACAGTGACGAAGCTACTGGAAGATAAGAAGAAGGAGCAGAGAAAGGATAAAATCAATCAACGATCGGTAGAAGAGAGCAGTCAAAGTAATGGCGTTCAGGATGTCACAAGTAATAATACTTTGATGCCACCGCCTCAAAATCAGCACGCCGAAAGTTCGGATGAGTGGGATACCGAAGATACGACGGGTTCGCAAAGCGATACTGCTTCGGTAATCATTTGTTTTTTTTTTTTCATCTCTAAGAAAATGAGATCTAAGATTGAAGAAATGATCGCGCCCCTTAGGTTTCTAGTGGCTGCTCCAGCATGTCGTCAATGGGAAAGAAAAAGAAGGGTCCTGCATTGATGACAAAAGTGCTGAAGAAAAAGAAGTTGCGAAAAGCGAAAAAGAAAGTACCGCCTGTTCCATTAATTCCCGGGACAAAGATAGTTGTAGAAACGTTGTCCACTAATACAAAAGCTAATGTGGTGTGGCAAGATGGTTCAGTAGAATTTGGTATTGAATATTAAATATTATGATTGATATTTAGTCATAAGAGTTATATTTAATCGAAATATGTAATAATAAATTGTCTCATTGATATGATTTGTTTATGATATCTTAAGTTTTGTAGCATGCATATATGGTATTAATGCTATATTTCTTTAGGCATACCATCAACACAATTGTATCCAATTCATCACTTGGATGATAAGGAATTTTTCCCAGGTGACTTTGTTGTAGACCAAAAGGAGGAATCTAGAATGTATGGTGTTGTACAAAGTGTTGATCATCAAGGTCGTACTGCCAAGATAAAATGGTTCCGAACATATACTTCTAGTCAAAGTCCAGAGTGAGTATTGTATAAAGGAAGAAAATTCCTTTCCATGAAAATTCCTTTTCTCGTGTTATTTCAAAACCTTCCATTTTTTAATTTTTAGAGAACTTTGAATGTTTTGTAATTTAAAATAATTATAAATAAGTCAAAAAAATAGTAAACTTTTAATTGTTTGATTATCTTTTTATTCAGGCCAATCTTCCTGGAGGAGCGCGAAGTGAGCGTTTATGATTTAAAGGATCATCCAGATTTCCAATACAGACCGGGAACCCTGGTAATCCGAATAGCGAATTTTGAGGGTGAGGACGCTGGATGCACCGCCGGTCAAGTGTTGGACAATTATCCAGAGGGACGAGTGAAAGTATGGTGGGTCGATGGTCATATTAGCATGTGCTGGCCACAAGACCTGTACAAGGTTGGAGAATACGACAGTGACGAAGGAGAATTGTGGGATGATGTATCATCTGATTCGTCATGGGAGACAGAATTGGAGGATTGTTTCATCGCCGATAATGATGGCACCGAACAGACAGAATTGGAGAACATAAAACCAAAGTTAGCGGCGCACATCGAAAAGGCCAGGATCGCAATGTCAAGATTGGAAGAGATCTTTACACAGAATCCATCATTGCAGACAACAGAAGTGATGAGAAAACTTTTAGAAGTCTACAAAGATTGTCGTTATATGGATAAATTAATGGGCACTTCGTTTTTTCACGAATGTCACTTCCAAGGGCTCCTCGAGCGGGTGAGAGAACGCGGTAGAGCGAATGTCGCGCAACGTATGGCCGATCAAGTGACGAGACTTTTCACACCTAAATCCGAATGTCCGGAAGAATCTTTGGAAAAAGATAATTTAAAGAATTCGAGAAGCAGCGATGATCAGTGTGTAATTAATGTGCCGGAGAAGCAGGTTGCTACAATTATTAATAGATCAGAAATTGACAATACTATTAGTATCGAGAATAATACCAAAAAGCAAGGCGACGAGGAACCGATTAATCAATTATTCATACGTCCCAATCCCAATCCTGAGGATTCTGGATTGTATTCGGCGGAGAACTCGAAAAAAGAATCGGGTTCGAGCGAGTCCAGTGGAGAATTTCTCATGAGCGAAGACGTTAATAATACACCAGAATGCTCGTCCACATTGAATGGCGCAAATTTGCCCGATAAAGCAGAAACAAATAAAGTGAAAAGAGTGCCGACGAGTCTTGTGACTTCTCAGAACATTGGAACGTCACATGTGTGCGTGAAGCTGTGTAATCTAATAAAAGCGCAGCTTGTGTTGGCGCACGCCGAAGTGTCTAGAAGATTCGGTTTGGCCAAAATGTCATTATCGGACGCGGAAAAAACTTCTCCACGGAAAAAGCAAAAGGGAGAGGAGGAGGAGGAACGCGTGGAAACGATGATGGATCCATCTGAATGTTCCGTCGAAATTCCACCGCCGGTTTATACCGAGGGCGAAGGCTTCTCTATAGAGGAGACCGCGCCCGACAGTCACAAATTCAAGCTGACCATGTTTCAGCCTACTGATCCAAGCAACTTCTTCAGAACTGTCTCCAAGGAATTGAAGTTGCTGAAGAGCTCACTTCCACCGGGTGTATGGGTAAAGGGATTCGAGGATCGTATAGATCTGTATTCCGTAATGTTCCGTGGTCCCGAGAAAACGCCCTACGAAGACGGCCTTTTCCTCTTTGACTTCCAATTATCGGCTGACTATCCGGTCGCGCCGCCTCTTTGTCATTACATTTCCTATTGCAGCGATCGGTTGAATCCTAATCTCTATGAAGACGGGAAGGTGTGCGTGAGCTTGCTGGGGACCTGGTCTGGTCGTGGTACAGAAGTATGGACAAGCTCGTCGACCCTATTGCAAGTGATTGTTTCGATACAGGGTCTGATTCTTGTGAGTGAGCCGTACTTTAACGAAGCTGGCTTCGAGAAGCAGAAAGGCTCGCAGCAAGGACGCGAAAACTCAAGAATGTATAACGAAATGGTGGTGTTGAAGCTGGTACAAGCGCAAACAAAGTTGCTGTTGCATCCACCACCTGTATTCAAGGATATTATTATCGCTCATTTCAAGAAACATGCCGAGAAACTGCTGCAGAGACTGGAATTGTGGATGGAGATATCCGAGCAGCATAATAATCAACATCCGTTATCTCCTGTCACTCCCACTACATTCAAAGAGATCGCTGATATTGGTATGTAAAGCAATATCTTTTTTTATAATGCATATCTTTTTTTATAATGCTTTTTATATTGGACATAATAAATTCTTGCTCTCTCTTGTCACAGACGAGAAAGTATTGCCTGAATTCCCGCTCATCCCGGCATCGCGCGGTTTCTGCATAACCCTCGGCAAGACTTTGGCAACGTTTAAAGAAGTACTCGTTAAAGAGAATATAATACAAAGGCCGAGAGAATGGCAAAACAATGAAAACATTATGGAGTTGAGGAATAATACTGCAAATCAGTGCCAAGAAATATCTAAATCGATTAACAGTAAGGTAGCAGAATGTAATCAGAGCAGTAGCAGCATGAGCAATACACTACAGGAAAGTAACAAAAAACTGACATTAAATGGCAATCAATCCATTAAGGAAGTGACGTCATCTTCCGCAACGAATACCTTTGCAACGGTACCGAGCGAGACGAAAAAAAGTCTTTTGAGCCAAAACACCAGCTAGCCACAAGGTAAAAGTAAGCATAAATTGAAACGCTTAGTCCGTTTAAATTATTATACGACTGTTCGGTAATATATATATATATATTTTAATATATATATATATATATATATATATATATATATATATATATATCAGTAATTTATCGTATACGGAATTTCAAATTACACAAACATACGCTGACACGCAACATATACATGCGATATACCTATCGATAATATTTAATAACGACGCGATAATTTTTAATAGAAATATTGTGGCAGGTGTTGCTAAAGATAATTGTTCTAAGAGTAATTACAAATAGAGAGAAAAGAGAGAGAGAGAGAGAAAGAGAGAGAGGAATAGAGAAAGCGTAAAAACGCGATTATAATTGCACGAATAAAAGAATGCAATTTTACAGCTCACACATATACACATACACATAGGGATACACGTACACAAAAACTTCGTATATTATCAAGATAAATTGTAAAATTATCGCGTTAATTCGACATCGAAGTAAAAAGAAAAAAACAAGACCTATCTAAAGCTCCTCTTGCATTTAGTTCCATATACTTTTAAGTATAAAGATATTACGTTGCCTGTGACAAATATAAGAAGTTAGCTGAAAAATCTCTGATGAGTGAAATTATATATATATATATATATATATATATATATATATATATATATATAATATAGCGCAAGCAGAGATAAGCAGAATTTGCCATTCTGTAAAACAAATATGCAGAAGAAAATATGGCGAGTGATAAAGACCAGTAACAATACGCCGAACTAACGAGGAAAAACGTTGCAATAGAATCTTAAAGGATAATAATAGCGTATTAATTCTGCGTAGCACATTTTCATGATTGCACTTTCAATAATGTGTGATTATTGTCGAAATTGTAAATCGGTTATTCCCATCGAAATATGTTTATCTTGGAATTATTCCATCCAGGTAAATGTTGAACCTTTATAAGAAGGGTAATCACTCGTAATCAATCGCTTTCTCGAAGAATCTCACAATCAGTGGACTTTCACACGAATTGTCCGAAGAAATTTTATTCCGGCAGTTGATCGAAAATAAAGCTAAATAAAGCTTAAGCGCTGTCAGGCTCGAGATTCGCTTGCTTGAAAGATAATAATTGGCATTATTCTCGAGCTACTCGATCTTTCTTATAACGGCTCAACATTGCACTACGAATATTCTCAAGCGAAACTATAAAGAGTGACTTTAATCGCAAATGTGTAGAGGGAAAATAGCTTAGGAAAAATAAAAACAAATCCATATCTAGATGAAATCTTTACGATGATTATGTCCAGTGTATATGGATTTCCTTAGCACATAGCTTGTAAAGCATAGAAATTTAGAAAGAAATGCATTATCCTTACGGTCTTTCGTTGAAGATAACTCTTCCTATTTCATTCCTATAATTTTTTGAAATACACATTCTGAAAGAGGACTGATTTGAATACTAATTTATTCAAATACTATTATTACTATTATTATTTAGTTGGTTAATAATTAAAATACACGATGAAATGGTGTGTATACAGTATTATTCATTTATTTCGTGTAACAATTCCTGCGTAAGGTATCTAGAATCAGGAAGTTGTTTTCTGTTTACGTTTATACGCGGAAAATATGCGCATGTAGGGAGATAACAGAATAAAAAGAAGAATAAGACATAAAAAAGGTTTTCAGATCAATTTAATAATGAAATGTTGTGGAGATACAAGATGCTGTAGAGTGATATTTAAATATTCATCAGTAGTTATTTTTCTTTTTGTTTCCTCGCATTCCTTCAGACATGGAACAAATGTGTATATCAAAATCATTATCGTACAATCGACTAGCTACAAAGTGCTCGTATTTTCTGTACGTCAATTGATTTTTTTCTCTCGTTTAGTAAAGGATAAGGAGATTCTGAAAAAAATTTACGGTGCTAACAAGTTACGAGAAAAGATATGGAGATGTTTTCGAGAAGAGTATGCGATCTTTAGGAAGCGTAAATAGCTAATGAAGGCGGAGGAAATAGGCGCACTGTAAAGCCGCCGAAATGTTTGGGATGCCTTGTATATGTGCCAGCTATATTTACATTGATTAACAATTATATTTGTGAGTAACGTATTTGAAAATTTATTTCACGCATTGCTCTTTTTGAGGAAGAAAAATAGAAAAAAGAAATGCGCAAAGGAACCACCTGAATGTACGATTTGCAAATAATGACGAGCGTGAAACATGAGCGTAAAAAAAAGAAAAAAAGCACATTTTCTAGTCTAACGTCAAGTTATGTAGAGCAGATTTTTTATTTAACTTTTTATTTATAATTTTTATTTTTAATTCATTTGAGAGACTGTTTTTTCTGTCTTTATTTTTTCATTCATTGTCTCTTAAGAAGGAACTGGACGAATCAGCTACATCAAAAGTTAACAAATCTAATACATTTCGAAATTTATAAATTTGACTTGATAATTGCGCAAAGCACTTTTAACATGTAAAATTAATGATTAATTTGTATTAAAGTAAAAATGTGTATATAATCTCAAAAATTTAAATGTATATTATCTTATATCAAATTAACTATTTATAACGAGTGTACACCAAAATTTACGAAAATAAAAATTTTCATTCTCTTTAAAAGAATAAAAAAAAGCTTCTTTAAAAAGCTACTTTACGCAATATCAAATTCACATATAAATCTCAAAATGTATTAAATTTACTAATTTTTTGACGCAGATGATTCGCTCAGTTTCTTCTTAAGCTCCTTCGTAGAGAATTATCTTTAAGATTTTTTGTTATATTTTTTATTATTTAAGATTTTTATTTTTCTCGGCGTCAAATTATCTTTTGATATCTGTAAAGTTTTATTTGAAGGCATTCGTTGAGATTATTCTCTCTCACTTGCCTTTTCTATCCATTGTATTATATTAGTATCAATCAAAACAAAACTGCAGTAATAGTTTACTACATATGTAATTCAGTTCCCTTAATTCGGGTTAATAAAAACTCATTATAGGATCAACGGACATGAAAAATGTCTCGTATCTTTTATCAACATTACACCTTTATGAACATCCTTAATCCTGCTACTTCAGAGACATTTATTTATTTTGTGTGTCATACATGTATAACAATTATGTACATAAGCATCATAAAAGAATTATTTGCAAGTTTTATTCCAATGTATTAATTAGGCAATGACAATTAAACATTCGTAATCCCTAGTCGATATTGTTCTATATTCGAGCAACATTAGCATCGTGAGAAATCGTGTTAACGAACAAAAATGTATCTTGTTATCTCGAAATAGATAAGCTGTACTCATACACTCATTTATCCATATCTCTTATCAAAGGTGTGATTCAGTACGCATTACGTAGACACTGCAGTATAGTTAATTGCGAGAGCGACTTGGTATTCTTTCTTTTTTTCAACGTGTATCGATATTCTTTCCCAGAGAAATGTATTCGAAAAAGCTTGTGTGCTACCTAACTATCGGTTTACGTAAGTAAAAAAAAGACATAATCTTAATATAAAAGAAATATGACGATAAATCATTTTTAATCGGTAATAAAGGATGTTTCATCTTTTTACGTTTCTCATTGCATCTTAAACTGTCATTGATTGATGAAGATTAGTCGTTTTATCGAAAGAGTGTAATGGTAATATTTATTATATGGTTGAACAATAATTATTTTCAAACAATATTATTCAATTATTGTCTTCACATACATTCATTAATAAATTCTATCGTTGCACGTGTGTGACAGTTGTAGTATGTAGGTTGTAAGTTACAATAGATTCCATTAAAGAAAATGAATTGCAAATCTTTCTTTCACTTCTTGAACAATATCAAACAGTTCTGATGGGGATATTCTTGGAAGAAGTCGAAGCGAGACGCAAAATTTTGAGGGGTCGTAAGACAATAACCAGACGTTATTACAGTAAGTCGATAATGGAGCAAAGTGTCTCAAGTGGCACGAGAACCAAGATCTAAACATTCGTTTAATCATGTTTTTTAGGAGGTACAGCTATACCAGCTTGGGCCATAATTGTTTTGACAGGGTTCGGCATGTTACTGCTCGGTGGTGGACTTTACGTTTTATTGCAAAAATTCGTGGTCGACGCCGCTGACACTGTGGACACTCACACCTATCAACCCGCGTTGCAGCTCGAAAGTTAAATCGATTTGCGATGACATACTCTGCCAAGAGAAAAATAATCCTTACCTCTTTACCCACATTATATATTATGTAACGTAGAATTTTATAAATGTTTTTTTTCATAAAATAACGTTTTTACTTTATTATTTTTGAGATAATTATATTCTGATTTATTGATTAAAATTATTGTTATTTCAGCAGGCGATATAAAAGTGTTTGAGATACTGCTTGATTTGATTATTCATATTTATATTAATATCCAAATATTTATTAGCTTAGGTTGATCGATATTATATGTTAACGTTTCTAATCGCGAGCATTTTGATTATTTATATATATATTTATAATATATCGAATATCTATTGTTTATTAAGTAGCAATTGTTTATTCTCATAGATATATTTAGGTTTTTCAAAGCCATATATTGCATATATATATATAAAATTATCAAAACAGTATCCAAGTACAATGCGACTATAAAGTAATTATTAAACTTTCACGAGGGTCTGCTATCACCTTTTGACAGTCAATCGCGCTATTGAATTCAATAAATGTACCTGAGTTACAGAGAATGTAGCAGAGTAAAAGAATAAAATACAGAAATATCTTGCATCAATATTAAATGTAGCTTATCACATCCGTATATGTATCAATACTTTTAATAGGTTCTGGAATTTCTATGGATCGTGCATATTTGTTATATTCTTCTTTATATCTTGGAAAATATCTTGTTTCCTGTTAATTCTTGCGGTAACTATCGTGCGACAGTATTGAGTAAAAACATTTGAGATATTGTGCGATATTATTATATAAATTATCAAATTATAATTTGGCGATTTATATGATTGGATTTTTTTTAATGAAATTTATTTCGGTTGCAAGTTTGTCAACAAATCGATAAATCAGATATGTTTTTTATATCAATTCTTGGCGATTTTAATTTTTTATCACTCAGCTCCCGTTCTCGTTGCCTGATCGTTCATTGAGATGTTTATACATGTTCACAGAAGGCTTATCCTTTGGAGAGACCATTTGCTAAATGCTAAAAGAACTAAATTGAATGCCGTTATTTGTATTTAAAGCTTATCGATAAAGAAAGAGAGAGAGAGAGAGAGAGAGAGAGAGAGATCTCACTTATATTATCATGAAACTATTTCTTCCTCACTCTCATACGCATAATCTTTAGAATTACTTCTTTAGAATTAAATCTATTAGAGAGTACTTTATTAACTAGAAAAAGTAATAAATAAGAAAAGATAATGAAGATTATCAAAAATGATGTAGAGATGATTTCTTTAAAAAATTTGAGAGCTTTCATATAATAGAAAGATAAAAGACCTCATATTTCTAAAATTATAAATATACATATAAATTTATAATTAAATTTTGTTGATATCATAGTAAATTTTCTTTTTCAGATATTATTTAAAAAGATATCTTTTCAAGTTAATTATTAACAAAATGTTTAATTGCATCTGTAATTTATTTTAGAATAATTTATCTTAGAATAATTTGAGAAGAAAATAATATTATGTTTCAGTAAAAGTATAAATGAATAATATATATATATATATATATATATATATATATATATATAAAATATATATAAAATATATATAAAATATATAAAAATATATATACTTGCATATCTTCCAAATTTAATCATAAATTTAGTAATAAAATTTAATAATAAATTTAGTTTATTATTTACCTACCGTTTTTGAACGAAATAATCTTCATTCCGATTGCACTTTGATATCATTTTATATCGTTATTTCAAACACAAAATGTTGACTTCGATTCATTCTTTTTCCTGAGTAATTTTAATTTATTAATATAATTACAAGTGAAGTATATATATTCAATGTCTTAATAGAATGTAAAATATGCAATATACATATTTCATTTCATTAATTTTTAATAGTAAAAAAATAAAAATGTTATGCAGGAGAAAAATGCTTATCTTACGAAAGCTATTCTCAACAGTTTTTAATATTTCCAAATCTAGCATTTGCTACTTAAGTGGCTTTTTACTTTTCTTTCATATGAATGAAAAATTAGAGACAACACGTACAATAAAAAATCTATTTTAAAAAGTTGCAAAAAATCTCTAGAATCAGAAAGTAATCTTTCTCTCTACATGCTAAATGCGATGGGGACGCAAACAAGAGTAAACAATATAAGGATTCAATTGTAATGCAAAATTTTTCACTCCAAATTTTCGACTTCACAGGTGAAAAGACATCAATCTCAAGTTAAAGAAAGTTTTTAAGAAAAATTTGAAGGAGAGAAGATAAGCTTGGCCGAACAAAATCCTTTCTGAGATAATACCGTACGATGTTTATTATTATATTCTAAAAAAAGGTAGAATATATTTTTAAAAATTCCCAATTAAATTTTCCAACTTTTACAATATATTTTTTACTATTTTTAATTATGACAAACGTTGTGCGCGCGCGGCGCAACATTTCTCAAATTCTTTCGCAGAGTTCTTCCGCCAATTCTTTCTTCTGTACAAGAGTTTGTGAAACAGCAACAATAATTAAAACTATTATACGTGTTTTTTAATATCAAATTATTGCAATACTTTCTTGTTTTTACCGTAAATTCTCAGTTTAATCTCTGCAATCTTTAAAAAAAAATTCTTGTATAAAGTGTCAAGAGAAGCGCGCGCGCGCGCGCACACACACGTGTACGGGTGTTGCATCTACATACAGCTCAGTATGACGGGTTGCCCATACTAGCAGGCGCGCAAGATCGTTCACAATTGCATAGCTTTGGCGGCACAATCAGTAGCAAATTGATAATTGTATCCCAATTTGTTATGCTACGAATTTTATTGAAAAAATTTGCTACTGATTGTGCCGCCAAAGCTATGCAATTGTGAACGATCTTGCGCGCCTGCTAGTATGGGCAACCCGTCATACTGAGCTGTATGTAGATGCAATACCCTGTACGTGTGATGGTAGAGCAATACATGAATGAAATAACGATAGAATCATGTATATAGGTTTCAACTATGTACTATTATTTTTAATTCAATCATTGTCCCGTTATCTAATTCGGGGTAAGTACATAAAAATTCCTTAAAACCTCGAGAATTTTGGACTCCGAAGTTTTAGCAGCGCTCATTTGCCGACTTTGTATGGCGTCCTTCCTTATCTTTTTTTTTATTATTTTTTTATGTATGAAAACATCACGCATGACGCGCATCAGTAATTTATGCGTCGCGAGCAGATCATCGATCATTATCCATCGTCCGCTCACTTGGATTCAATCTCGACAGACAGATAATTGAATGCGCGATTATCAAAGTCGATACATGACACGCGTGCGATGAAAATGATTTTGCTCGGCAAATATACAGAAAGTAACACTTTGTCGTCCACAAGAGTTAACATTGAGAAAAATAACTTCTTACGCGATTATTTCAATAGCATTTCTTTTTTTTTATGTTACGGTAGGATATCCTTACAGTATAAATATCCTCCATGAAGTCAGTTTGTTATATAATGGGCGAGGGGGGAGGAGGCGGAAAAATTCGCACGAAGCTCGAGCTGTGATAACGAAATTTGTTGTTTGGTTTTTTTTCTTTCTTTTTTTTTACGATCTTTAAAGAGAGTGGCTATTACAATGATTATGTTGAAAGTAGTGCTGAAAGTAGTGAAAGATATCTTTTTTTAGTTTCTTATAAATATTCTGTTCTCTTATACACAGTAGTATTTGTTTTTGTTTTCCTTTAACGGACCTGTTATAGTTTGTACAGAGGTCCTAAATAAGTAATTCTTACAAGATAATAGTTAGAATCGTTCTCTAGTCGTGTGTGTAATTACAAGAGTTCATCAATGTATATATATATATATATATATATGTATATATAATATCATAATTGCCCGAAACAATCGGACGTCTGGTTTTGTCAGCGGTGACATCGTCGAATGACGTACAGGAGCTTCTCTCTCTCTTTCTCTCTCTCACATGCATACATACGCCCACATGCACACATTTTCTCTCCATCTCTCATTCGCAGCTTAAAAACAATTTAACGTGGCGAGGATCGACAAATCGCATCTTCGCGTGGCCACTAATGCGAAATCATTCTCGCGTATAAAACAGCATTGGAGATGAGTGCATTCGTTGCATTACGCATTTATGTCGTGGAAAGTGATTCACACAAATGAATTAAAATATAACAATTTTTGAAACATTTCTCAATCTTATAAATTTACAGATAAACACAATTTACATAATGTGTATAAATAAATGAATTTTATATTCAATTCATAGTATGCATTTATTTTTTAATGAAAATATTTATTTCCCTCGTAAGAATTTAAGTAAATATTAACAAATACTAGCTTAAGTACAAATTGAAGAAAATAAATTTTCTTGGAGATGAAAAATATAATATTGTCTTTAAAAAAAATTTCTTAATTATTATAAATAATTGTTTGCATTAAGGATTACGCGATAGAAATGATTCAATTGCGTCGTTTACGAATGCACTCGACTCGCGGCTTACAAGCACAACTTATGCGTTAGATCGATAGATCTCGTCGAAGATCTACGACGGAGGAGAAGCGCTTACGTACACGCATGTACGTAGGTATATATCGGCGAAAATTCGCTCGGCATTCTCTCGTTTCATCTTTATTATATTTTTTACATTGTCTACCGTCGAAGCCTGCTCAATAAATAACAAATAAGAATTGAATGCTAGCTTGGAACACTATCTCATCTTCCTCTTTTTTTTTTTTACTAATTACAAACTAAATCTTAAGCTACGCGCTAAGTGAACTCGCAGATGACTATCATCGAATCGTCAACACACGTTGTGTCGTTAACACGTTGATTCCAAATGGAACAAGAACATTTTCGGATCGGCTTGGAACAATCGGAGAAATTCGCGATCCAAGGAACACGATGTTTTCCTGGGAAAAAACAAGTGATCTTTCGCTCACAGAGATCGCGATAACGTGATGTGGTAGTCAACGTGTTAACGTAATTATATAAATAACTATCGCTATGTAAATTGAAGCTAGACGAACCTGAATCTCGAATTAGAGCGATCGCTCGCATCGGTCACTTTATCAATCGCTATCCTAAATCAACGATTATCATGAAATTATCAACGTAATAATTATGTATCCCTTCGAGAGGAGGAAATATTTAAGCATTTTTCAACCATCGGATTATCGATTCCTTAAATACGTTAAAAGCTACGTTATTT